AAAAAAAAAAAAAAAAAAAAAGAAATGCATTTATCCACAGTAGAGTACTACCCTGCCATAAGGAAGGATAAACTTGAGTCGTTTATAGGAAAATGGATGCACCTTGAGACTATAATGTTAAGTGAAATAAATGACACGTGTAAGTTTAAGTAGCTCATGGTTTCTCTTATACAAGGAAGTCAAAGTACAAAGAAATTAAGGAGCAGAATAAGAGACAGCCAATAGGAAAAAGGGAGATTGATCTTTTGCAAAAGCGAGGGTGACCAAGTGATGGGGGAAAGGGGAAGTAGAAAGCATTAAGGCGTGTGGTGCGCACGTACCTACTCCTACCAGGAATGTGATCATGTACCGCAAGCGTGCTAATACACATGAAAAGTAAGCGCCACACACACCATCTCTGCTTCCCAGATTGGGGCACCGTAAGCTGGTGGGAAGGGCTTGGAAGAGCTGTGCCAGCTCTGTGTGGCCCTCAACAAATGACAAGTTGGGTTTGTGCCTCTGTTCCCCTGTCTGTAAAATGGGATTGATAACAGTGCTTGCCTTATGGGTCTATTGTGAGGACAGTGAGGCTGGCTCCTGATACCACTCAGTAGAAGTTATTGTTACCACCCTGCAACCAGGGTAACCGCAGGTCAGGGGTCATTGGAGCCACTGTGATAGCTTTGCCCTCTCCCCCCACACCCATAGAGGACTGAGAGAAGTGAGGGAAAGCACTGGCACTGACCTGGGCCTCCTGACTACAGCGTGGAGGGCCCCTGGCCTCAGAGCCAGCTCTTGATCCTCTCCTCTGGGTCCCCCAGGCCACCCACTTCTGCACCTAGCAGCCACAGAGCCAACCTTGCATGCTCAGCTCTATTGCACAGTCCTGGGCTCATAGTCAACATTCAAGTTCCTCTAACGTGTGTTGGAAGCTTTAACACTCTTCTGGTCCCCAGGGTGGACAGTGATGAGGAGAGGTGTCCTGTGTGCTCTGAGGCACTGCCATACAATTTAGAAACATCAGCCTTAAGGCTCAGCCCTCCACCCTAAGTGTGGAAGGTGCACAGATCCAAGACTCTCTCTACTCAAAGGGCGAGTGATGATGCATAGTCATGTGCAAGCGCCCAGTGGTCACTGTGGGCATGGATCAGTCCTGCGTGGTGCCAGCTGTTCACCAGCTGAGCAATGTGCACAGAGAGCTCTCTCCTTGGTGACCCTGGGAAGTAGCAGACTAAAGATGGGGTTTAAGCAGGAGAAAAAAATTCCCCAGTAGGACAGGGAGAAGAGAAAGCAGTTCTTGTGTTTCTCCCACATGCTGGGAACCCAGTACTTATTTGTCCGTAATACGCGTTGGGCCCCTTTGGCAGGAGAGCTGGCATTTTACAGAGGGCGGGCTGATGCCTAGGCTTGCTGAGAGAAAGGCAGGGCTGTCTGTGACAATAACCTGCTGCCAGGCTACCAGAACAACTTCCTGAAGGGTCAGAGGCTTCCTGCCTCGAGTCTGTTGGGAGCTCTGTGGGTCACCTGATCACTGAGCCTGGGATCCCTTCCTGAGCTATGCATCCTTGGGCAAGTCCCTTACCCTCAATCCTGCCTCTGCAAGGGGCTCAAAAGCCCCTTGGATGACCACATGGCTCAAAACAGAGCTAGGAACAGGGAGAATTGCAGGCAGTAGGGGCCACTGTGCCCAGGGTAGGGGACCAGGGCTGGAAACTGACTCCAACACTTAGCTCTGAGTATCTGACAGAGACTTCTGCAGCCTCTAGGCCTGACCTTCTTCTGAGAAGGGACCATAGGGCCAGAGGATGGGACAGGCTGGTGGTGCAAAGTGTGGTCTGGTAGCCCCAGGGCAGAGCCAGTCAAGGCAGCTCCAATGTACCCTGGCCCTAGTGGACCAGCTCAGTAGCACAGGTCTGGAAGCAGCCCTCAGACATGGTGGGCAGGGGTGGCAAAGAGCTGGATGGCTTCAAGAACCTGTGGGAAGTGGTTAGGTGACCTACGCCTTTCCTTTCCTGCTTCCTCGAGCATTGGTGAAGCTTTGTGATGGGCGAGACTGAGGCAGGATCCTTCCCCAGCTGCACAAGGACCACTTGAGGAGGGAGGAGCCTCCTGAAACAGGGAGGAGCCCAGCACCCCAGGAAGCATGGACCCCTGGGCTGTGTCCCATCTGGTCTGGGTCCTCAGGGACTGGACTGAGAACAGGCGGTGTCTCCATTGTCCAGGAGAGCTTCCCTAAAACACTATCCTAAGACAGAGGGATACCGGGTCTTGGGGACAAAGATGTTCCCAGTACACGGGGCTGGGACCACTGAGGTAGGCTCCGTAGAGGATGCCATCTCCTGCTAGCCAACAGGGAACTCATGAACCTTCCCTGACCTCAGGAGGCCACTGTCACTCAGATCCCATGCAGCTGAGTCCCACACGAGCCTGTCACCTCTGCTGAGTGGCACACCTGTGTCAGCAGGCTCACACGCTCTGCTTCTGGGTCTCCATCTCTGCCTCGGGTAGATCCCTAGCTTCTCCTCTGGCTTCTCCCTCCAGCTTGTGTTCTGAACCCCCTGGGGACCCAGCAGACATGCAGAGGCCTAACTGAGACTGGCCAGGAGCCAGGGGCTATGGATTGGTTGGACTATTGGGGATGCCAGCACTGTATGCCCCACCAGGTAGCCTTCCCTCACTGCCCTAGGCTTCTCTCTACTGACACTGGGTACACAAAGTGAAGCAGTCCAGCCTGGCTACAGATGGCACCCTGTTCCCAGCTCTGGTGGAGGCTAGGGCAGCCCACGTCCAGACTCAGGGCTTCCCTCTTCCTCTTGCGTGGGTCTCCAGGGCATTCTTGGAGTCAGGACAGGAACAGAAGCCTAGTGCATGCATGAAGGGGTGGCCTGGTGGACACACTCATCCCCACCTGCCCTACATGCCTTCCTCTGCTCGGTCTTGGAGCTCAGAGCCCTCCACTTATAGGACCCTTGTGCCACCAGCCTCTTCCTGCCACCAGACACAGCTGTTCCCATCCAACGATCTCTGTCACCAAAGAGTAGGCACAATGATTCCCAGTCTGGAGACCCAGGGACAGACACAGTCAGGACTTGGGTCACCCTAATGTGGCTATTTATAAACCACTTGATAAGCACAATCTGCCCTGCTCGGCTGGCCACATGGACACAACACACGGCTAGTGACTTCACAGTGAAGCTAAGCCTCCTAGGGCCAGCAAACAGAACATTTCCTGTGCCGGCCAGACTTGAAACATGCTGTGAAAGGCAGAGGCAGGGCACCAGCTTTTGGTCCCCAGGGCCCCTCAAGGGTTTCTGTGGATATGGGGTGCTGCCCTGGCCATCTGAAGGAACGTCTGGTGCCACAGGGTCCAGCCAACTTCTGCAAATGGCCACATAGCCAAAGTCTTCACTTGGAAGCCCATGTGGTCCCTGCAGTTATGGAATAAAACAAGCTTAGACCATATACAAATGAGGGATCATGGCCATGTGCCAATAAAACTTTATTTACAAAACTAGGTGCCTAGCCCACAGGCAAGGTTCCCCGCCCATTGAGGCAAAGGTTCTTCGGCACTGGAAAATTGAACATCACTTATCATACATATTTTAAAATTATTCTCCAGGATTTCTAACCTTGTCGTGGCATCTTAAAATCTGAAATAATTTTTCCGAGGCTGTCTAGCTTTTTGTACATAGTCAAAGCTACTCTTCTCACCCATCAACTTTTGTCCACAAAAGAAAAGGTTTTTTTAGATTCGCCCAGAAGCTGTGGGAGACTGGCTGGACCCCCAGGGTGTGTGGGGACAGGCAGCCTGGGGAGGGCTTTGTGCTGTGGACACATGTGCCTCCCGCGTCCACAGACCAGAATGTCCCAAGAGCCATGTTCCCTGCTACAGCTGCCAGGGATCCTGCCTGGATCGGCACAGGGAGACCAGAGACCCACTTCCTCTGACCCGATGCCCCAACTGTGGCTGGGGAGTCACCCCATCTGGACACACCAGGACTGGGCACATCAGCAGTGACTGCTCACTCAGCCACATGGGAGCAGAGAGCCCTGACAGATGACAAGTCTCCAGTGTGGGGACCATGTACTCTAACACAGCCCACACAGCATGTCCAGAGAACCCTTGCTCCCTACCACCCCATGCACCCCACACTGTGGCTATCTTGGACAGATGTTCCCTCTGTCATCAGCTGGCAGTGCCCTGACCATGCCAAGGAACCCGCCTGTGTCTGCACTGTCTCTTCCTCACCACCGGTACCAGCTGCCGCTCCGCAGGCCTCCCAGACCAGAGTGCCCAGCCCTGCCTGGTTGCCCGGGTGGCTCCTTCCATGATGGCCAGGGCTTCCTGGAGACAGAGGACAGGACACCCACACCTCCCGACTCCCAAATCCGCACACTGTGGCCGGACCCTGAAGTCCGAGGGGCTTACCTCGGCAGAGACCCGGCGGGACCAGTATGCTGCAGAGGGGAAGAGGCAAACAGTCCACCAGGCGACACCCGCGTGGTGTCAAGTAACAGTCAGATTAAACAAACAGCCTCAGCGGCTATTTTTACATCCAGATCAGCCCGGGTAATAGATAACTTGGGGAGTGAGAAATTGCTTGATGATCAGCTGCACCCTCCCCACAATCCCAACATCCATCCAGAGTGACTTCTGCAGCCATTCGAGCATCTAGAAGCAAATAAAACGTCTCAAGATGGGAAGGAAAACATTTGTCTAGGGAAACATTGAAAACTTGATCGTGTGTGCCTTGGGGCCAGCATCCAGGGGCCTGCTGATGTCCCTGGGCAGAAATAGCCCGTTTCATCATCGGCTCTGGACAGCCCAGCCTGCATTCCTCGAGTAAGGAGCAGCTCTCCGCTGAGCTTTTGGAGCAATGATCTGCCCAGCTGCAGGCTGGGGACAGGCCAGGCTGAGGCTCAGGGGACACTGCGGATGGCCATGAATAATCGGGAAAAAGCAGGTAAGTGACCCCATGCCAAGCTCAGCCACAGCCACCCAGTCTCTTGCAGGGCCCAGGTGCCAATGGGCAAGGCCTTTCTGCTTTGCGGGAAACCCGCTGGTCTCTAGGATAGCGCTCCCACCTACCATCCCATGGCCGCTTTCTGTACTCCCCAGCTCCCCAAACTGCCCATAGAACCCCAGTTCCATACAGGCTCTGTTCATTAACCCATGCCGACTCCCAGGAACCCTCTGACCCTCTCCCAGCTGGTCCTATGAGGGTTCATTCACTGTGGAGATTTAGTGTCAGAGATTTTCCTATTTTTCCAAAAACTTCCTCATACTCCTCTCTCCCGTGGCCCAAGAAAACTGAGATGACTGGTCCCTGTCAGGCGCCTGGACCCCTGAGGTGCCCCAGCCCTGGGAACTCTGCAGCACCCATATCTCTAATCTATTTGCAGACTGCCCCTCCCACCTGTGGCTCCTCAAGGGCAGCCACCTCTTTCCCAGCCCCAGCAAGGGCCTGGCACCACCTTCTGCCCTGACACTACTGGTGGCCGAGGGTTCAGGACCCGGGTCTGTACACTTTCACTCAAAGCAGTTTGGAAAGAACAGCTCCTCAAGGCCCCGCAGAAAGGGATGCCAGCTAAATCACCCCCATCGCTCCGAGCCTCAGTTTACCCACCTATCAGGTGAGGAGAGTGAGGTGAAGGTTGGAGAAGCTCACGTACATAAATATATTTTACTCGTACACTCAAACTTCTCAAATGTTCACCTGTTGTTTGTTATTCTTTTTTGTGATTTTTGCCATGTCCTCAACCCTGTGTATCAGCATTTGTTGACTATTTTCCTTTAAAGAAAAAAGAAATCCACTTAGTTTGGTTTTGAGCAGACTGTTATGGTGAACAACAACAGCTGAGAAATCATAGACTTCATACGGTCATACTTTTCCCTGTTACTCATGGAAACAAATATATAGCCAGCCCGTCTGTCAGCTGCACTTGACCCAAATCATTGTCCCAGGTGCTAGGAATGAGGCCTTGCTAAATCTCACTTATGTAGGAAGTGACTTTGAGTCGATCCTAACCAGAGCTGCAGCCATCAGTGGATTCCTAGTTTTTCTACTCCATCTCCTCCCCTCAAGATGCTCTTGCCTGACTTGTAATTCCTCACAGGTGGGGTCAGTGTCTGGCTTAGGATCCGAGGAATGGAGAGTTGTGCTCTGCGCCAGTGGTGTCTGCTGGAAGTGGCTGAAAAAGGAAAATTGTGAGGGTGACCTGGGGTGGGGAGTGCAGGGCTGGGTGAGGGCAGGCAGCTTGGTCAACACCGTCAGCAGCAGTGTCAGGCGAGCAGCTGTCCCAGTGAGACCCGAGGACTGTTTCACGGCCCCACCCAGCCTGAACACAGATGGTGGCTGCAGAGTCCCCTGTCCCTAGAAAAACCTGCACCTTTCCACACCATGGGTCCCACGTGCGGCTTGGTGGGTGCCCTGGTGCAAACCACCGTTGGGCGAGCAGACCACTGAGTTCTCGACCAAAAACCCAGGCTCTCACAGGCAGGAGCTGGCCCCAGTTCCTGGGGGCTTGGCCCAGGCAAAGTGACCCCTGCCTTCCAGTCTAGCAGCCATGAGCCGCATGGAAAGAATGTGAATGAAGACACGATTCTAAATGTAGCAGCCTCATGGACGCTATGTGAGCCAGCCTGCCTCCGACCGTCCAGAAAAACAAGGCCTGCGTGTACATTCTGCAAGAACATAAATAAAGCTGTCCTCGGGTGGCACACTCGTGTCCCATCCTGGGACATTGCGGGGTGGGCACCTGCCTACTGGTGTGGGTACAAATAACCTGGTTGTCTTCCACTCACAGGAGGGCCAGTGGCTGAATCCTACAGCAAAGCCAACCTGCTCTGGATCTGTATCCACGAGATGCCTTCAAAGGCTAGGACTGAGGGCTGAGAAGCATGGGCCTTGCAGCTAATTTCCAGTTCTCTGCATCAGAAGCTCCCATCCCTCCAAGTGACACCAGGCGACTCACAGGATTCCCTTACTCTCTTAGCCTGGGTGACTGCAACTTCTCATCAGGTGACATTTCTCCCCGAGGGCATAGATTTCTTCAGGAAACTTCTGCAGGGTCCTGGTGTATTTTTCTGGCTTAATAATAATACTGCTAAACTAAACATGCTCCCCACATCCAGGCAGCCTCATTTTTCCACTTCATCTTCACTCTACCCCTGAGCGATGGTAGTCAGTACCTCCTCCTTACAGATGAGGAAACTGAGGCTTACAGAGGTCCAGAAGCTAGGTAGCTGACAGCAGGAGTGGGATCATCCCCGGCTTGTCCAGCTGTATGCCTTTGTCACCTCCTCACCAACTACTCTACCGGCCCAGGCCCAGGACACAGACTTTACCCCTACCCGCACCGCTTGCCTCTCTCTGGCAAGAAAGAGTTCAGCCTGGGCTCCTCTTGGCTGTGACTAGTTTTAGGAACTTGAGAATCTGTGCCCTGTGTTGGCACCACTCAAGAGTGTCCCCATGGCTGGTGGCAACCTGGTGCATCCCAGGTGGAAGAGTGACCCTGGGGCTGAGGCCCAGCCTGCCCACCAAAGGGTCTGTGCAGGTGACACCTGTACTACTCATGGCTGTCCTATGACTGACTGAGGGGCTGACCTGGGGGACAGGGCCCCTATTATTGGATCACAGCTTGTAAAAAGCACCCACAGACCCAGGCAGCCAATGGTTTCTTTCTGGGGCTATTGTTATTCCTGTCTGAACAGCCAGGCACCAGAATGATGATTACCTGAGAGCCAACGAGGAGGAGAGCTGTCCCTTTTCAGGATTCTTTGTTGAAAATGTCACAGAGAAAGGTTTAAACAAGTGAGAGAGAAAGCTGCACTGTGAAGGGGTAAATATGGTTTACTAAAATGTTGCCTGATACAACAAAGCCAGAGAGAACAGCTGGGAGGGCTGTCTCCCCGCAGATCTTGGGAGCAGGGGGCTCCTCTCTCAGAATTGCCCAGGATCTGAGAGGCCAGGGTTAGGAGGAGCTACTCTCTATAGCATCCTTGTCCTGCAGCCCCACAGTCTGAGGGCATTCCTTGTGACCACAGACAATCTCTGCAAAGAGGAGCAGTGAACACAGCACAGAAAACTTAACTTTAAAATGTACACTCAGAACTTTGAGCTTCGTGTAATTTCCACAGGTCAAAAGTAGTGTTTGAGTTCGATCCCTGGTACAAAAAAAAAAAAAAAAAGAAA